CTTTTCCTCTGCATCATCTTATACTTCTAAACTGCATTTGTGTCGATGCCTCTTGAGGCTAGGTTCACACCTAGGCGACTCCTGACTGCGCAGCAATCCGTGTGTTTTCCGCGAGGTCAGGAGTCGCCACGGTGTGAACCAATCGTGCTGTGGGTGCCATTATTTTGTAATGGCACCCCAGTCGCACCAGGCAGAGCCGTGCGGTGCAAAAAAAGGTACTCGTTCCTTCTTTTTTTTTTTTTTTAAGCGAATGCCGCACGGATGTTACCTTATTTAAATCAATGTGTGCACTAGCACATGGCGCTTGAATAGCTTCAGCCAGGGAATGACAGCTGCCAGTGGTAAGATTCTACAGACAGCAGCTGAATGTAAATACAGCTGGTAGTGGGCTGGTGTAATAGCCAGCCTGCTATTGGCTATTTCAAATTGCAATAGCAGGCTGGCTATTGCACCCCTCCACTGCTTGCTGTGCCCTCTTCCCAACATGGAGGCGAGAGCTAGGGGATCTAACCAACTAATCGATAATGAGACAACTATTCTCATTGATTAGTTGGTTGCAGCCCTACCTCTCTCCATGGCAGATAGATTGGTCTTGTATCTGCCCCCTCAGGTTTCCTGCAGGCAGCCTTCTGGGTCCCTCCCACAGCTCTTCTCTTTGTACAGGCTATGTAAAGTATGTCATCGCTACTTTTTTAAAGTTAATATCTAGGTCTGCAAACGCATTAGGTGTACACAAAGTGCATTTATGTTCTTTGGGGCTGTTAAAGGAGAACTATGAGGCGAGTGAAAATCACTCGGCCTCATAGTTCTAGCCGACCTGTGACAATTAAACTGTCACAGGTCGGCTCAATAGATCGGGAAGTGAGCGAACACATAGCGTCGCTCGCTCTCTTTTCGATCTATCCCTGCAGAGAGCTGTGACAGTCACTCACGGCTCCCTGCAGGGATTTCCCCAAGGATAATATCATGTAGTTCTGATGTAAAGAACATTGCATTTACCTTAATAGCGAATTTCATGTCATGCTTCCTAGCTATCACAACCAGATGCTGGTAGACAAAGGCTCATTAGACTGTAGAATGGATACCTACATAATTTACCATATGTAGAGCAAATTATTGTTTATCACTCGAGCACAACCACATATTGCTACTAGAAGGTGATCAGAAAAGTACAAGAGGCAAAAATCAGACAGTTCTCCGCACAGCTTTTAATCTATTATGTCCATGAAAGGGTAAGTGGGATGATATATATTTCTAAACACCCATGCAGATTTAATTTACCGGATTATAGAGATTGGTTTGTTTATTTACAATTCAGTGTAAATGTCTATCTCTTGGTAGAATGGTATAAATTAAATATCAAGCCTAGTTCATGTAAAATAACTGCTTGTAAATATGTGTGTGTGTCCGCTGCCCGGTTTCCTGATTCGTCGGGAAGCTGGCCAATCAGGCAGCCGTGTGCCTCGTGACGAGGGAGCATGGAGCCGGCTTCCCGGCCAATCGGAAAGCCAGGCGTCGCATCGTTACACGGCTCCCGGCTTCCTCTGGCCAGAAAGCCGGCTCCATGCTTTCTCATCATCTAGTGATGAAAAAGCATGGAGACGGCTTCCCTGCTAATCAGGAAGCCAGGTGGTGAGTCACTACATGCTGCCTGGCTTCCTTAATGGGACTTCCGGTATCGGCAAGTAGGGGAAAAAAAATATCGGCACTCCATACCGAAAAAACGATATCGGTGCATCCCTAGTAAATACATTTCTATTAGGCTATGTGATTTGTTTTTATTCTAAAACTGAAGAGTGTTTTTGTTTTGTTTTTTGACACCAGTTTTTGTAAAGGTTCAGATCTGAAAGTCAGCATGCATTCGTGGAGGAATCATTTCCTTGATTTACAAAGCACATTCACAGTTCTCATTTACTCCTAAGATTATTTACCTACCTCCCTATATTTGGTTTTGTTTTAAGGACTCTGCTAAATAAGGCGATAAACTTTATTATGGCCACAAGGACGTTATCGCTTCAATTTGCCAATCCAAAGATTACCAATGATATCTTGAAAAGACTGCAGCAGATCTTCTTACTGTCTTGATCCACAGAAGTTTCATTCAGTTCTACATTTATATCCTCCATGTGCAGTGTTGGCAAGCCAGATTTAAATATACCAGCTAGATGTGCCAGGAAGTTTCTAGAGTTCTCGTTGCTTTTATAAATAGGCCCATGAGTAATCCTAAATAGCAGTTGTTTTTAAAAATAAATCCTACTAGTGAGCATGCTTTTATTTATTGCCGTAGTAAATATACTGATTAATGCCACAAGTTGTATGTCAGTATTACATGTTATATCGGTGAGATTTCATTACAAGGCCTTCATTATGTCATGGGAAAATGTTAATATTATTTCATGGCTTTGTACTGTGCAATATCATTATTCTGTGCTTTCTAGGGGCACATTGTGTATTACCATTAAGATCGCACGCATGGACTAATTCTATTTTGGACTAATATACTGCTAAAAGCTGCCCTCCAGCCTTACCCCACCCTCCACCCCCTATATAGTAAGCATTCTCCGGTGTTGAAATTAATTCAGTTTCCTGCAAACTTGCATCTCCACAATATAACCCCTTGAAGCTTAACCAGAGTCAACCAATTAGCACACAGCAGAAGTCTGCAGCGCCCAGTGGCCATGAGGAAGCAGCAGGCATATCTTAAGAAATCCCGGGGATGTGTTTTTTTTATATAAGTATTTTGAAAAAGGTCCAAGGTAGAAAGCTTTGATGTTTACAAGGCCCTGATGGCTCTTCCCATCAGACTCGGAGCAAAGAGCAGCAGACTGACCCAGTGATAACATCAATGGATGTCAAAAAAGGTCTTTCTTGAAAAACAAAGTGATTTGATTGAAAAATTCCAATTGCATGTTTTATGCGTATACTACACCTCAGCATTTACTGTTGTGTCCGGGACCTGGCTGTGCTATGTGGTCGAGGTAGCCAGATAGAATTACAAAAGTCTTGATAAGTAAACCTGTAAGTAAACTATGTAGTTGCTGATTGCCTTGGGTTTAGCTTTAGTCATTGAAAATGTGTACTCTGATAACGCACTATAGTTTTGCTTTAGGTTCTTCGAGAATGCTCTATACAAGTGTTCTTTGAAAGCTTTGTGCTTGGAAAACTGTTCTAATTTTATCAGTGCATTTCTGACATTAAAAGTATAAAAAAAAAAACAATTTGCATGCTATGTCCATCCATTTCAACATGTGGTGTTACTAAGTGCTGTGCTTACATTGATTGCTGGCAAAATAATGTATTATGTTGTCAGTGAAGTCCTCTGCAGCATTAAAGCAGTCTTAATAGTCCATCAGTTTTTCGGCTGTCATTGGAGAGAGTTAGAGATGAAAACAGACGGTCGTTGTACATGGCAGTTCTTCTGTGGGAAAACATTCATATTTGCTGTTTCAAAAATACAAAAGCCATGATCAAATTCTCAGATTTAAAGTAAACCTGTTAAGAGTCAGATATGGGGAACCGCAATTGTTGACTTCCTTCTAGAAGTGCTAGTTGACTAGGCTGTTATTGTGATGTTCTATTTCAATAGTTTTCAGAAACAAACCCAGGAAATGTCTGCCCCGGGTCAGAAAGAGCCTCTTCAACAACTAGATCTGTCTATCATCTGGAGTGTGGGCCTGGTTTTTAAGAATGCCTCATGGAGATTATTCTTGTTTTATTATGAAACTCTTTAGACAGAGCTCTGTACCATGAAGAACAGCAGCACAATCTACATACTGTACCTTTGTAAAAAATGAACTTTAGTCCCCAGTTGGTAGGTAGATTTGGTCTACATGTTTTATGAATGTTAATTAATAGAATAATTAAATGCTCCTGCCTGACAGTGTAAACAAGACTGGAATCCAGTTACTATGTGACAATCTAGTAAATTTAAAAAATATAATCTAGCCTGTTTTATGAAAGTTAATGAAAAATTAACAAAAGGATCCTGTCGGACCGTGTAATCAAGACCGGATTCCAGTTACTATGTTACACTATAGTAAATTTAAATTTCCTTTACCCTCCCGGATTGAGCCAAATCCTCTATTTTTGTCTTACACACGCCCCCTCCCAGACACTGCAGCTCACAGTAGGAGGATTACAGCAGCAACAGTGGCATTGCTATAGGGCTAACAACTAACCGATCAAATTGATAATCGATTTTGACAACGATTCTCATTATTGATAGATGATTAAGCTCATCCCCCTTGCGCAGCTCTGCTCAGCCATTCATTCCCCTCGCCCGACCGCCACAACTTTGCTCAGCTGTCCCCGGCCCCTGCAACTCTGCTCAGCCAACCTCCGCTAGGCCGCCACTACTCTGCTGCTCAGTCGCTTTGCATCCACAACTCCCCTGCCGACCCCAACTCAACTCTTGGCAGACACTCACTTCTCCGCAATGCCCTGCTTTCCGATTAGATTGTAAAAAAATTGTGCATGCGGTTTTATTCTGAAGTAAACGTTTATGTTTGCATCACTCCGTTTGTGTATTTTATATTAAATAAAAGCTGGGTTTTTCTTTTTTAATCCGATTAATTGAGAAAATATTCGGCCAACTAATCGATTATGAAAATAGTCGTTGGTTGCAGCCCTATAGTGCTATTAATCCAGAAAACAGTGGGCAGGCCTGGGGCCCGCTGCTGATTGATCAGCCACAGGTTTATGAATAAATAACCATGCCTCCTGCAATATTTTTTCATTGCATTGTACAAGCAGGCACAGCCTACAAGAAAGTGGCAGCTCTGTTCTGAATTCAGAAGCTGTGCTGCATTGTTGCCAAACTGTCACAGGGAGCTACATAAGGTGGACTTCAGTTGGCAGACTCGGTATGTATTTGTGGGAGTTTGCAGGACAAGTAAGAATGCACTTTAATGTGCTGCATATTTTTTGTTTTAATGAGAGGCCAAAGTTCCTCCTTACGTCATTTAGAAAGTTGTTAAGTCTTTCCTTCTTTTCTCTTGCAGTACACTGTGTGGAACTTCATTCCAAAAAACCTGTTTGAACAGTTCAGAAGAATTGCGAACTTTTATTTTCTTATAATCTTCTTAGTTCAGGTAAGTGTCCTCATTTAGATCCTCAGGTGGGTATATGGACAGCGGGATTAGGAGATGCACAGTTAAAGAGACCATTGCATTTTGAACAGATGTGACTGGATCAAATCACTCTCCGGCTGTTTCAAGTGACAGTAAACTCAGGAATTAAATCTTAAAATGCAAGTACCTTAACTATTAACAAAAATGTATCATATTTGTGTATCACTCGGCTGTAGATCCTCAAATCATATCTGAATTGGTGCTGACACTGTCCTTCCTTCTGGAGGGTGGCAATGTTTGTTCCTCATGGTCCAAGCTTGCTCCCGTGATGGACTATAGTCTCAACAAAAATTAGTAACCTAACCATGAGATTGTAGTCCATCACAGGAGTGAGCTTGGACCATGGGAAACAAACATAGCCACCCTCCAGAAGGAAGGACAGTGTCAGCATCAATTCAAAGATGATTTGAGGATCTACAGCTGAGTGATACACAAATAAAATACATTTTTGTTAATAGTTAAGGTACTTGAATGCATTTTTAAGATTTAATTCCTGAGTTTAGTGTCAGTTTAAGTTTCTAGGGGCACCTCAGCAGTTAAAATGTTTAAAATCTGTTTCTGGTCAACAAATGTGGGTATATTGAAGTGGCCTTACTTTTAGCTTTTGGATTTTATACTACAGCAATTGATGCAGGAATATTAAGACTCTTTCTATGACATTAGGAAGATATTAGAGCCTGGAATTTTAGCGGTGGGGGATCTCATTGCCTGGGCTGCCTAGAGAAACATAAGTAGCCACCAGGTTGGCTCATTGATATGGTGGATAGAAGGTTAGTAATAAACAGCTATATCTAATATAAAGTTAAATTATGTGCCAGCGATACTAATATCTATCAGAAAAATATATGCACAGGTATGCTTGCTGTGTTTGTATACTAAAAAAAGATGACATGCAACATTTATGTCATGTTGCTCTGATATAGAGTGTTCTGTTAACTTCCATGTTAAGTAGCTTATCCATAACAAGAAAAGGTTTTGGCTTTAGATACATTAAGCAAAGTAAACCCATCTCTTCTTGCCTGAATGTTTTAACTCCCGCGTATGCTCAGTGTGCATTCTGAAGAACATTGCGAACAAGCAGATACGTTTGTTTTATTGCAGGAGAGTAGTAGTTTGTTCTGCAATAAAGAGCCTGCCCGATCGCATTTTTTAAATTTTACGGTTTACTTTTGTTTTATTTCCAGGCTTAGTGGTGTAGAGGTCGGCTTTTTTTGATGTTGGCTGAAAAATAATGACACATAAATGGACAAGAGGAAAAAGCCTCTTTTGCTTGCATATGAAATATGGGCTTGTACTCCTTAATTTGTAAACTGTTCATGGTGCTGGCTTTAATGTGGAACTTAATAGTAGCGAATAGGAATGCACTGACACCGGTCATTCGTCATTGCCCGCCTCCTTGATTGCCCAGGATGACGGGCTCATGCTGTTTGGCCGGCTCAATGCTGATTGGCCGGGAGGCCGGCTTCCCGGCCAATCAACATGGAGCTGGCTTCCTGGCCAACCAGGAAGCTGGAAGGTGGGTCATTACCCGTGGCCCGGCTTCCTGGTTAGCCGGGAAACCAGTTTCATGCTTTTTGGCCGGCTAGATGCTGATTGGCTGAGAAGCCTGCTTCACCACATCTTCTAATATCTTTCTAGTGCTCTGGTGGTGAATCCTGACCACCTTGGGAGGGTGCAAAGTGTCCGCACGCACCTTTTTGATCCAACTTCTCCACTTGCTTCCTCCATTACAGTAAATTAAAAATCCCAGAATGTGTGAGTGAAACTCCCCCATCAATAAATGGTGTCAGATGTGTAGACCTAGCAAATAAAGTATGGAGATCTGCCAGAGAGAGAATTAACATTTCTTGGAAACATCACCAGCTTCTACCTAAACTCATACGGTTTACACACATGCAATAAGGGTGTTACTGTGTTGATGTCTCATAATTATTGCATATTGAAATATTCTGTTACTATTTTCCTAACACGTGTTGTCAAAATAATACAAATATTTTACCACCTTTTGTAATTGGAAACTGTGGTCACTCCAGTATATACACAGAGGGTAATAAAGAATAACTCTTTTAGTTCCTTTTGCTTGAAAAGTTGTAAACACACGAAAGTTTAAACTAGGGATGCACTCATACTGGTTTTTCGGTATCGAGTAACGATATTTTTTTTTCTGCTACTCGCCTATACCAAATACCAATACTGGAAGTCCCAAAAAGTAAGCCAGGCGGAGCCTAATAACTCATTGCCTGGCTTCCCGATTAGTTGGAAGCCGTCTCCGTGACAAAGCATGGAGCCGGCTTTCTGGCCATTCAAAAAGCCGGGGGGGGTCATGACTCGCCGCCTGGCTTCCTGATTGGCCAGCTTCCCGACCAATGGTGAAGCTGGGTGGCAAGTCATTACACCCTGCCTGGCTTCCTGATTGGCCGGGAAGCCGGCTTCATGCTCCCTGGTGACGAGCAAGAAGGAAGCTGGGCGGCAAGTCATTACACGCTGATACTGGAAGGTTCAGGATAGGCATTGGGAGCACTTGGGCGAGTACGAGTATATGGGAGTAACATTTTATGATGTTGTACAATGTGCATATCATTTTTTTTTTCTCTGAAGTTTTTTCTCTGAAGTTTAGAGCTTGCTGTGGTGTCTTTGTTCAGTGTTGTTTTGCTTGTGTAATCTCTGTAACAAAGACTGTTCTGTGCTTTTCTTCTTAGGCAATTGTTGATACACCAACAAGCCCAGTAACAAGTGGCCTTCCCCTTTTTTTTGTTATCACAGTAACAGCTATCAAACAGGTAATGAGCTCAGATGCAGACCTCAGTGCTGCTTGTTTCATCTTGGTTGTTTTGAAGCATTTTGAAAGAACTGGATTTCGAATAAGCAGCCTGTACAATCATTGGGTCTCTTTTGCTGCAGTTGCTGGAAGGCCTTTTCTTGTGTGGCTGTTTTAACAGCATAACATGTTGAAGGAAATGTATCAAAACTGGAGCAGCTGTACATGGCAACCAATCAGCTTCTCTCTTTTTTTTATTTTCAAATCTTAAAACAGAGAAGCTGATTGGTTGCCATGCACAGCTGCTCCCGATTTTGTCTGCTCCAGTGTTGATAAATGTGTTTCAAAATAGTATTTTGCCCATGGTAACTTTATTTTAGATTTTGATTGCTTGTAGTAGCCAATCTGAATTGATGAAGTGCACAAAGAACAATAACAACCTAACTTGTTTTAGACGACATGTTTCAGGTACTGGGCTTTGGAATAGTTGTTGCTTAGTAGTGTTCCTGCAAAAACAAAATCTGCAGAGCTGGCAGCTCTGAGCAGTGGTGTCACCCTCAGGAGGTTGTATTAAAAGAGTGACATGAACAGAATTGCATTGTAGGAGGTGGAACAGTTCACTAAATAAATATTTTAGCTAGGGATCCTCCGATACTGAGTATTTGGGCAAGTACTCGTAGTCGCCCAAATGCTCCCAATACCGTAACACCCGGTATCAGGAACCCGGGCCGCGAGTCATTACGCGCTGCCCGGCTTCCCGATTGGCCAGGAAGCCGGCTGGCTATTATGACTCATCGCCTGGCTTTCTGATTGACCGGAAAGCTGGCCAATCAGAAAGCCAGGCGGCGAGACATTACCTGCCCCCCAGCTTCCTGATTGGCCAGAAAGCCCTCTCCATGCTCCCTCGTCACCTGGTGATGAGGAAACATGGAGATGGCTTCCCAGCTAATCGGGAAACCGGGTGTTGAGTTATTACACACCGACCCGGCTTCCTTAATGGGACTTCCTGTATCGGTATTATTCAGTATCGGTGAGTACATCACCTACATTTTTAGCCGCTTAGCTGGAATTCTCCTTTTTAAAGTGATCTACTTGTTTCAAGACTGACAGCTTCTTATTCTACACTAAATTGTCCAGCAGTGTTTTTTTGCTGACTGCAATGATGAAGATTTTTCTTAGGTGAAATATTCCTGTGAAACTCCTAGTGCCCATGCTAGGACGAAGGTACTATAGTTTGCCAAAGTGAATGAGCCGATGACAATATGCACTTGAGAGGCTTACCCTTTCTTCAATCTACAAAAAAAAAAAATGTGTCCCTTTTGGACAGATTTCCCCTTCTTTGCAGTTTTGGTGACTAGGGCTAGGGAGTGAAGCTGTCCATACACTTAGATTCCCCAGCAGACTGAATAATAGAAATGTTTAGTAGTGCGGCTGGAGAAATCTCATCTACTGGCTATTGTATTGTGCCAACCAGCAATACCCGAACAGTCACTGCAGTGACATTTTTTCCACCTACTGCATTGGAGCAGCAAAACCGTAAAAAATCATGCCTGTTGCATTTTGTGTCACTTTAATAGATTAAACTTGTTTGTTGACATAACTGGAATATTGTGTATTTTACTGTACGTGTTTTTTTTGTTTTCCTCTTTAACTCAGCTATACCAGTATAAAGCCCAAGAAAAAAAATCTTATTGATATTAATAAACCTATGTTACAACCTGTATAAACACATCTGAAATGTACAATCAAATGCATTACTGCATGCTCATAGATGTGAAAAGGATTGTTCCTGTGAAATATATGCAAACATTGTGCAGATACTTCAGATCATTGGACTTAATTGGGCCGTCAAGATGACTCAGATGACTCAAGATGATTAATGTACAGTAATAGATATTTACTTTTCTGACAGGGCTACGAAGACTGGTTAAGACACCGAGCTGACAATGAGGTTAATAAGAGCACAGTGTACATCATTGAGAACTGTAAGCGCGTCAAGAAAGAAAGTGAAAAAATTAAGGTAAATGGTTAAGGTACCTGTTAAAAGCAGATATTGAAATATGTATGTGTGAACCTTAAATGATGATTGATTTTCTATATTTTAATCTATCCAAGTTTGGAGATTCAGTTTTTTACTGTACTGCTGATTTTGAGTTTACAATTGGTAATCAATAAGTAAGCCTGACAGGCAGACCTAAGTATAGTTGAAACAGTTGTTGGGAATGCCCAAAGAAGACTTGGCCTTTAAAATGAGTTTGAAGAATAAACCACATTACTCAGGACATAGACTATGATGCCCAAAATGGGATAGAAGGAGAACACATGACTCAGCTACTAAGAGTATGGCACTCCCTTATGCTAATCAGAAAGACTTTTAAATAACCTATGTGATGTTTACCTTAAAAGTAAAAGCATGGATAAAAGGATGAGGGATGATCCTTCAAGGGACACTCATCCACACATTCACACACACACACTCACACTCATTCCCTACAGATCCACACACACACGCACAGCATCACAAAGACACGCCCACACCCCCACACTCACATTGAATAGACAGACACCTGTTAGGACTATTTTTACTTACTACCTAGCCACGTTTCCTAAGCATCTTATAGATTTCTGCTGTAAGATATACTATATTTTGTAATCATCAAGCATCTTATAGACTCATTCTGTAAGATATACCATATCCTGTAATCATTTGCAACTTTTAAATTAAACACATTATGAACTTTATGCAACAACGGCAACAATCATCTATTATTGAACTTTTCCCATCCTATGCTTCGAGAAAAGGAATATGACATAAAAAAATCATATTTCGTGTCATTTTCTTACAGTACCTGTAAACAATAAGTGAAGGTAGCACAACTTCTATGAATTTTAGCAGAAGCAGCGGTTGAATGCAATATGTGTTGTGCCTTGCATGAACTTTCTCAGATCGATGTGTCGATTCCCCAGTTTGAATTCTGGTTGATTTAAGCCAGGCCCTGGGGATGTCTACTGCCTGCATAAACATGGTTGCTTATGCAGTGATCAATGCAGTTTTTTGTGGTTTGGTGGATGAATCCTATAGTTATGTCTGACCTTCATTATTATTATTATTATTATTATTACATAGTATTTATATAGCGCCAACAGTTTGTGCAGCGCTTTACAATGTAAGGAAGACATTACAATACAATTCAAGACAGGATGGTAAGGAGGGCCCTGCCCCTGAGGGCTTACAATCTGAAAGAGGAGGGGGAAATTATACATGAGGAGGTAGCTGTGTGGGGATGAATTGTTTGAGAATGTGATGGTTCACTGGTTAGGTTGAGGTGGGATAGGCTTCCCTGAAGAGAAGAGTCTTCAGGGAACGCCTAAAGACAGCCAGGGTGGGAGATAGACGGACAGGTTGGGGTAAAGAGTTCCAGAGGATGGGAGATACTCTAGAGAAGTCCTGGAGGCAAGTATGGGAGGAGTTGACTAGGGAGCTGGAAAGCAGGAGGTCTAGGGAAGAGCGGAGCGGACGGTTAGGGTGATATTTTGAGACAAGGTGAGAGATATATCCGGGGGCAGAGTTGTGGATGGCTTTATAAGTGACTGTTAATATTTTGAATTTTATCCTCTGGGCGAGTGGAAGCCAGTGCAGGGATTGGCAGAGGGGGGTTGCAGACACTGAGCGGTTGGTCAAGTGGATGAGTCTGGCAGCTGCATTCATGATAGACTGAAGGGGGGATATCCTGTGTAGTGGAAGGCCAATGAGGAGGGAGTTACAATAGTCAAGACGAGAGATAACAAGTGAGTGTATGAGTAGTTTTGCGGTGTCATTGGTGAGGAAGGGGCGTATTTTGGAGATGTTACGAAGGTGAAGGCGGCAGGATCATGGATTCATGGATCCTTAATGCCTATTTGTGTGTAATCTAATGCTTAAGAGGAACACATCCTATATCTCATTCTGTGTTTCATTCAGACATTCTGCACCAGTCCCACCCCATTGCTTAAAAGCATGGTGGTGGTCTTTTATTCTGGAAAAATCAATTCCTGACAAAGGAATTCCCATACTTACTCCCATACTTTCCAAAACAAGAGGAAACTTGCATAATAGATAATCACTTGAGAAGAAGCTGCATGCAGAAGCACAACTGATATGTTACAGAATCTCATGTAAGAAATGTTTGTGTATGCATGTGTGTTTTATATTTACATCTATCAGCCATAACATAATGACCCCGACAGGTGAAGTGAATAACATTGATTCTCATAATGGCACATGGCAGTGAGTGGTATATATGAGGCATCAAGTTTACATTTTGTCCCTGAAGTTGGTGTATTGGAAGCAGAAAAAATGGGCAAGCAAAAGGATTTGACAAGGGCCAAATTGTGATGGCTAAGCAACTCCAAAACTGCAGCTTTTGGAGTTGCTTTGTGGTATGTTCCCGGGCTACAGTGGTGCCAGGCTAATTCATGCACTTGGGAGTGAAGGCTGGCCGATGCAGTCTGATCCAATAGCAGAGCTACTGTAGTTTAAATTGCTGATAAAGTTAATGCTGGTTTTGATACAGTGCATTGGAGCTTGTTGTGTAGCCGCAGACCAGTCGAGGTGCCCTTGCTGATCCCTGTCCACCACTGCTGTGGGCACGGAAGATCAGAACTGGACCACAGAGTAATGGGAGAAGGTGGACTGGTCTGATGAATCACATTTTGTGTGTGTGTGTTACCAGGGGAAGAGATGGCACTAGGATGCACTATGGAAAAAAGGCAAGCTGGTGGAGGCAATGTGATGCTTTGGGCAATGTTCTGCTGGGAAACCTTGGGTCCTGCCATTTATGTGGATGTTACTTTGATACATACCACCTACCTAAACATTGTTGCTGACCAAGTATACTTCTTCATGGAAACTGTGCTGGAAAAACAAGTCCAATACATGGATGCCCCACCTTGCAACTTACAGGGCTTGCAAAAGGATCTGCAACTGATGGGTTGGTGCCAGATACCACTGCACACTTTCAGAGGTCTAGTGGAGTTAGGCCATGCCTCGACGGGTCAGGGCTGTTTTGGCGGCAAAAGGAGGACCTACTCAATATTGGGCAGGCGATCATAGTGTGTGTGTGTGTGTGTGTGTGTGTGTGTGTGGATGGAGAGAGAGATAGATATTGGTAGTTCACTTCGTTTGCGCAACATCATTGATTTGTTTGTGGTTTTTTTTTAAAGTACATGCCATAGGGTTAAATAAAGCTGGCCATACACTTGTTTTCCCCCAATCATCTTCCAGCAACCTGGGAAGTAGGCTTGCTGTCCTGGAAGATTCTCACAAACTCCTTTTACCGGTGAGTCTAACTGGGGATTTTTTCTCATTTATCCCCCCCTGCTGAATGGGGAAAAAACCTTTGTTGTGTACTCACCCCTCCCCCCCCCCCCACCCGC